CCCTCAGCACCTGTTGATCGTGCAGGCCTCTCTCTGCCTCAAGACAGGCTTCCTCTCAGCTCCCTAAGGATGGGCCTCCTCTAGGACCCTCAGGATGGTTTCCTCTCAGCTTCTTTAGGACAGGCTCCTCTTGGCCCTGCTTCTTGTTGCTGTCAGCTCTGCTGCTTGGGCCTCTTCTGGCCTCTTGCTGTCTTCAGTGTTACAGCCCTTGACCCATGTTGCAGCTCTCTTAAGAGGTTCCTTGCCTCCTCTCTCTCCTCTTTTCCCTCTTCTCTCTTCCTGTAGCTTCTCTTCCTGCTTCTCTCTGTCTCCTTTGAAAAACCTCTGTGGGGATGGCTACTTGTATTTACAACTCCTTGTCAATTTTAAGGCAGAGCCCCTCCCAGTTGGGGGGGGGGCACAAACTGACCAATTCTCTCTCGGTAGGCCATAGACACTTCATTTGCATAGTAGGCTACAGACACTTCCTTTGTGTGGTCTATAGTCACTTCATTTGCATAGTCTATTGACCAATCCCTGCAAAGTGAACACCAATCACAGGGCAGGCTGCAGCCCAGGGGCCAGACAAAAAGTATCAAACCAAGTTGTTTACAGCTTACTGAGGAAATGTCAATCAACCTGGACCAAAGTAACAAACCCTCTAGGGTAGAAAACTAGGGCAAAGGTAACTCCTCAGGGCTTAAGGGGAAAATCTCTCCAACTGTTTTTCCAAAGAGCCAAGACAAAAGCCCAGATAAAGGAACCCATTTCACCACAATGGGAGAAAAAGTGATTTGGAAGAAGAAAGGTAACATAAATGAGTGAGGGGAGTGACAGTTACATGGAATTCTGATGTAAACATTAAGTTTCTCCCTCTTTTTTTTTCTCAAGTGCTTTTCATAATCCTCCACTTCGTGATAGTGGGGGCTGTGGTAATAAGAGAGAGAAGAGTAGTAGAGGCTTGTTCTATGAGAAAGCAGTGAAAGGTGGGCCTGTGAGAACTTGTTCAGTGCTCTTTCATGTCCCATGTAAGTGTCTTTATCTTTTGGGTCTCCTCCAGGTCCAGGCCCTGCTCACCATCACATATCCACAAGGGATACATTCCAAGACCCCCAGTAGATATCTGAAACTCAGAATAGTACCGAACCCTATATTCTATGTTTTTTCTATACATACATATGACAGGTACCCAGGGTGCCCTGGGCAGGCAGCATTAACCCATGGAACTTTGGCAGGGCACGCTCACCCAATTGTGTTTTCCAGGCTCCTGCCAGCTGAGGAGGAGGAAGCCAGCTCCGGGATGGAGCCGGATGGAGCCAGAGGGCACAGGAAGGTGGGAGCTTTCATCCTGCTACTCAGAATCACACACAATTTAAGTATCTTCCTATCCTAGCTGACTGTGGGTAACTGATCCAAGGAAAGCGAAACCACAGATAAGGAGGACTACTATACAGAGATGCATAATACTTCCCTCCTTCCCAAAAGAAATTTGAGGGTCTCACAAGAGGTTAGCCTTGGCATCTCTTACTTTACTGAGGCTTTCTTTGGCTCCTCCTTCTCATAACTGTCACTATCTGAGTATGAGTTTCCTTTTCAATTCTAAAGACAGACTCTAGAGTCCAGCCATATCCTACTTTTTGAGAGCCAGCCAGGGGCTTCCCAGGTAAGCACAGAGGAACAAAGGCATCTGTGCTTGGGATTTCCCCACCCACAGCCTCTCCACTTGACGCTACTACCTCTGAATCTCTCTTGTTTCATATGTCACACACAGGTTCCTTATAGATCCCAAGCACCCTGACTCACAGCTTCTTTTACTCACATCCTTGCATCAGGAACTTCTCAGAGGCTTCGTCTGCCAGAAACTAGTGACGTTGCCTCTCATCCAGTCTCTACTGGACAGAGAAGAAAGTCTACCAGAATTTCACAGAAACAGAACTTCTTCATACCTTCCACATGCATTGATCTTCATCCTTTTCCTTGATAGTTTCCGTTCTTCTCCCTACCCCCAACCCTACTCAGAAGCCTGAAGCCCCTCTCTAGCTATCCAACTGGGGAAGTATGTCTCAAATCTAGAGGACTATCTGAGGTGAAGGTAACCAAGGAGTTTATGAAAATACTATGGAGGCTATGGGGGAAGGGAGAATGTTTATCTCCAACAGGCCTTCAAACCCTGCCTATCTGCCCCACAATACCACAGCAGGAATGATTTTGGGTCCACTCTGTTCTTCTTATGCCCTGTAACTACACACCTAAAGCTAAGTCTTCAAGCGTCTGCAACTCACTCTACACTCACTGCTCTGGAAAACTCTTGCATCTCCGTGGCTTCATTCACATCTACACAAACCAAAAAACCAAACCCGTTGCCGTGGAGTCGATTCCAACTCATAGCGACCCTGTAGGACAGACTAGAACAGCTCCATAGAGTTTCCAACGAGCAGCTGGTGGATTCAAACTGCCCACCTTTTGGTTAGCAGCCAAGCTCTCAACCACTGTGCCACCAGGTCTCCTCACATCTACACAAGTAACTTCCAAATCTACATTGTCTAGCACTGCCCTCCTGCCAATGGAAGACTTTTTCTTCTAATTTTAAAAAGAAATTTGAATATTTTCATGGGCCCCTAAAAGTAACTAGGCACTGTTTGTAACCAGGAACTTGCACTTGTCTATCTTAACATCATTCCAAACTCTTATTTTTTATGTTTTCATTGGAGAATCTTTCTCTCCCCAAAATTGACTTTAGTTTAGCTAGTCTCTCTGATATCTCAGCTTAAGTACTATATATTTCTTCTACCCCATCATCTTTTATTTTCTATTCCCTTTAATTATATAAAATGCATAAAAATGGCCTCCAGAATATTCACCATTGAATGAATTTTCAATGAAGAACTCTTCATCACAAAGCCTAACTCCCTACACCAGTTAATTTGGTGGGTAGGTGTTCTTCCATTCGTGCAATTTAGTGGAATGCATATTATAAGATCCTGCTCACCCTCAAGGATGAATTCAGTTTTGCCTGCTCACTGAAGCCTTTCGCTAAGGTCAGAATCAGTGCACCTCTCAGTGTTCTCCTAGCAGTTTATACTATAAATTACTGGCATAATATAATATACTCTTAGATATCTAGTGCTGTTATAACAGAAATACCACAAATGAGTAGCTTTAACAAACAGAAATTTATTTTCTCACAGTTTAGGAGGCTAGAAGTCCGAATTCAGGGTGTCGGCTCTAGGGGAAAGCTCTCTGTCTCTGTCGGCTCTAGAGGAAGTTCCTTGTCTCGACTAGCTTCTGCAATTGGGCAATCTTCATGTGGCTTGCGTCTCTCTTCCCCTATCTCTGCTTCTTTTGCTTCTTGTTTAATCTTTTTCACATCTCAGGAGAGATTGACTTAAGACATACCCTACACTAACCTGTATGATTAACATAACAAAGACAACACATTCCTAAATGGGATTATAACCACAAGCGTAGAGGTCAGGATTTACAACACAGAGTTTTGGGGAACACAATTCAATGCATCATACTCCCAGCACAGTGTAACCCTATCCTTGCACTTAACAAATTGCACTGTATATACATAAATGTGAAGTGCTGAGGATACCATGAATATAGTAAATTTTCTCCTTTCCAGGATGTTACAGTTTGAGTACGGGAAGATGACAAAAAAGAAAGCGATTACGATATTATGCTTAAGTCTCTCACTTGGCGAGTAGGATACAATTTGGATGTCTAACTAAAGTAATTTTAAATTGGTTTATTTGTCTTGTTATTGTTGAGTTGTAAGAATTTTTTATATATTCTGGATACTAGACCCTTATCTGGTATATGTTTTGCAAGTATTTCCTCTGATTCTGTATGTTGCCTTTTTTTTACTTTTTTGATAGAGTTCTTTGATGCACAAATGATTTCAATTTTGATGAAGTTCATTCAGTATATTTACTTTTTCTTTTGTTGCTTGTGCTTTAGGTGTCATATCTAAGAAAGCATTCCCACATCCAAGGTCATGAAACTTTTCTTGCATATTTTCCTCTAAGTTTATTGTTTTAGCTCTTACATTTCAGTCTTTGATCTTTTTTAGTTAATTTTTGTATATGGTGTGAGGTAAAGGCTTAACTTCATTCTTTCACATGTGGCTATCTAGGGCAGTATGAAGATAATTTCATGACCCAGGTGTTGATGGCACCCTTTAATATAATAGCCCCAGAAAAAGTCTACTTATTCATTTACTTTATTTCACAGATGAAGTTCATGATGAAACTGGTGATGAGAAAATGAATCTGGCAACTGATGTGATGGGCTGCTTTGGTCGTGCTCAATTCCCATAGGGTCGTTCAGTAGGAATTGACGGAGACGCTTCAACAGTAGATCGTAGCTGTCATTGGAGGTGATGACTAATATGGACCTTGAAGCACACAGACCCTTGTCAATTAACACTTCCTGATAGCTTCCACCACCTGGCTGGTGCAAAAGTCTGGTGATGCATCCACTTCTGTTAAAGTTGCTTTCAGGGCCCCTCATGGGATCCCACTTGCGATGCACACCTTGTGAGTTGTCTGGAGCCATCCTAGCATAGTGGTGAAATCTTCACGTGAGATTAGACAAGAATGAAAGCTAACAGGTGTGAAGGAAGATCTATAATGAAAGCATTTTAAATTATGAAAGACGTGGAGGGTCAAATTTATTCCCCAAATGTACTACCTCTGAACTAATTAGGGAAAGATCTTTGAAACTTTAAGAAGTTGAGTTTAGGACGAGTAAAGGAAAACTATTTCATTTCCATATAGCATCTTGTTACCCAAGGAAATAGATGCATAAATTGATTGCACAAAGTTTAGGTAAAAACAAGGGTGGCAGAGGCATGGAAGGTTCAAAGGGCAACCAGAGTAGTTTGTGCCTGCTCATAGCCTATATACAAAGTTTACTTTAGTAAGGACACCTCAGCCCTGCCCTAGGTGCCGCTGCAGTGGTTCTCAAGTCAATTATTCCTAGACTTCCAGCAAGAAAAACACAGAGTCACCCAGCTCTGAAATATTGAAGAATTTATTGTTCTCAGAGAATTCTCAAGAAGAGGTCAGCAAAGGGTTCCTCAAAGGGGATGGGAAGCCCAGCAAGGGAATTATATACACACCAGTGCTGCAAAAATGTCAACATTTATTAATTACCGTGTAAGTGCCAGGAACCTTGCTGGGCCTGGGAGCTTTATGGTCATAAAAGAGGACAGGACTTAAAGGGTTCAGCAGGTAAGTCAGTCATTGGGGTGGAGAGCACAAAAAGTGAGAAAGGAAGCTGAGACTCGAGTTTGTAGGGCAGCTGGAGTTCAGATGTCTCTTAGGTCCTCTGATTTTACATAAATCTTGTCACCTGCAGCAAGACAAACACCGTTACTGTCATCCCTGGGTTCAGGACTCCAAACTCAGGCCCACCTTCCTCATTCCTTTTATATCTGCTCCTTCTCTTATCTCTGCCCTGTCCAGGCCCTAGGGATTATGTGGTCATTCCTGCACTTGCCATTGTCCTCCAGGTGAGCAGCAGTGAGGAGTCACATAGAATCTTAAAGTGATAGGATTTTGCCCCAATTCCAAGCTGACTTTGAAGACAGCCTAAATGCTTCAAGCCTCCAAAATATCCTCAGAAGGGAAGTGGAGACATTACTGAGGCCACAGAATAAGCTTAACTCTGGGATGAAAGTGAAGGAAGGATAATTGGTCACACTGTGTAAAACTGCTCTTTGAAGGGATTCCAAAAACACGGTACATTTTCTCAGCTGATCTCTGTTGATTATCAGATACGACTCAATACTTTCTTCTTCCTGAAATTCTTTACTCCCTTGGCTTATATAATAACATGTTCCCAATTCTTCAGCCTCTCTGCTTTCTCTCAGTTTTCTTTGACTACTTATGGTATTTTGTTAATAATGGATTTTTACATTAATTTTGATTTTTAAGAATATTGTGTTAAAATATCATTTATCTCGATTACTGAGTTTTTTGGTGCTCCCTTGAGTTTTGTACCCAAGGCAAGTGCCTTACTAGTCCCAGCCCTGCTTTCTATAATTCCCTTTAAAGACTGGCATTCTCCAGGGTTCTCCTCATTCTGTTCTTTTCATTCTGAACAATCTCCTTGGACAATCTTATGCCATCAACAGTGACCTGCATATATGTACATCACTGACAAAGTTATTTATCTCCAGCTTGGGCCTCTCCATTTAACTTCATACACTTATTTTCAACTGTTTACAGAACTCCCTACTTAGTTGTCTAACAGACCTCCAACCCAACATGTCTAAACTAAGCTCTTCATTTTTTCCCCCAAACCCACCTCTGCTCTTACACTTACTGTCTCAGTAAATGTCACCGTCACTCAGTTTTTCACCCAGGACAGGAGTTGGTGTCCATTCAGTGAATAAGCCTGTAGATTCCATCTCTGACATATCTCCCCAAATCTGTCTTTTACTTTACATACATTCTGTCATTACTATAATTAATGTCTTACTATTTTTCACTTGAACTAGTCTTTATACTACCACCAGAGTCATCATTTTATGTATAAATCTGATCAAAATATCCACAGTTGTACTGTTGATTGCCTGCTAGGCTGTCAAATTCTAATCCCAACTTCAGCAATTGCTAGATCTGTGATTTTGTAGAAGTTATTAAGTTTTAAAATCAATATCCTCTTTGTAAACGAGGAATAATAGTAGTGCCTATCTAAAAGGACTATCAAGAGAATCAAATGGCACTATGTATATAAAGTATTTAGAACTGTTCCAGGTACATAGTAAGTGCTCAAAAAATGTTACTAACTATTGTGTCATTGTCCTACTTCAAATCCTTCAGTGGTTCCACAATTACTTTCAGCATAAAATTGAAAGCAGAGCATACATGGCACATAAAGTCTTATGAAAGTTTCTCTGCTTACCTTTTCAGCCTTCTGTCATGTCCCAACGTGCATTCTATTTATAGCCATGATGAACTCCTTACATGGATCATGTTCTTTTAAGCTGCTGTTTCTTTCTATATGTTCTTCCTTCTGCCTGGAATGCCTTTCCTTTGTTTTCCTGTCTATATTGTACTTATTCCTTAAGATTTATGCATTTACCCTTACTAGAGGACTTTCTTCAACCTTGCCCAATTCCTGTCCATTGCACCTTCTCTGTGCTGCCAGGCTCCAGTTAACACCTTTATTACAACATTTTCAGTACTGTATTCTAATAATCATTTTCTTTTATTTTACTCCCTGGCCACAGGAAATGTTTGTTTATCATTATATTATCTGCACCTAGAAAAGAGCCTAGGACAAAGGAAGTATTCAACAACTTATATTAGATGAATTAATAATATACTAAACACTTTAGTAGACATTTGTTGAAGAACTACTATATAACAAAGGACATTTGCTAAGCTTTACAGGTACAAAGATGATAAAAAGGGTGTTCCTGATTCATGAAAAGATGACCAACTAGCAAGAATTCCTGGTTTTCTCCTCCCTCATCACAATCCTCAATGGGAAAATTATAAAAGAACAAAGAAAGCCTACATCTGAGGAACCAACATAAAAACTATGAGAAAAATCTGGAGAGGTCAAAGGTCATTGTGAACTAGTGTGCATGAGGCAAGGGATTGGAGAACATAGGGGCAGGAGCCTGGTTTGGCTTGTGGCTAGATGCAGCAGTGGTAAGACTTGGTGAAGAGTTTTTAAGTTTTGTTCTTTCCTCGCTCCCACACTGCCTTGGGAGAATCACTGTCTGTCTCAGTGTCTTTGTAAATCAGAAATCAGTAGCCAACCAAGCCCAATGGTGTTGGCAGGATAATATCAGCATAACAATAAAGCTCTGATGGGATGAAAAGCTGATGAGAACGGTTACAGGGAGTGGTCAACAGTGGTGCTCTGATACCTAGGACTCCCCCACTCTGGGGCTCATTATCTCATATCTCCTTAAATTTACTAAGGTTATGAATCTGATATCATCAACAGTAATAAATACTATAAAGGCTTATCTGAATGAAGAATACACAAGACTCATATGGAAGATACTTTTAAATTCTATTAAAAGACATAAGAAAATAATCTGAATAAATTAAGAGATTTACATGCTTAATATTTAATATTATGAATATGTGAATTTTTTCCCAATTAATCTATAATTTCAATGCTATCACAATAAAAATTCCAAATAGAATTTTTGAGAAACTTGATAAACAATTTAAAATAGATATGACATAATAAATTAGCTTAAATAGCTAAATCAACAACAAAAAAGAAAAGAGAGGAAACTTGTTCTACTAGATACTAATACATACTACAAAGTCATAGTAGTCAAAACACTAGGATACTGGCACAAGAAGAGACAAATAGATCAATGGAATAAAGCAGAGACAGACCCATTATAATGGGAACTTAATATATATAATAAAAGGGCCATCAGAAACCTATAGAAAAAGGGTTAACCATTTAGTAGTTTTTGGGAAAACTGGCCTACTATACAGAGAAGAATAAAACTTGATCTCCATTTAACATCAGATACAAAGGTGCATCGTAGATGAATTGAAGAACGGAATGTGAAATTTAAAACTACAAAAGATATTGTAAGAGAATATCTTTGAGACTTCACCATGGGAAAGAACTTCTTACACAGATCCCCCAAAACAAAAGCATAAAATAAAAATACTGATGGATTTTTATTACAAAATATTAAAGATTTCTGTTCAATAAAGGAGACCAAGGAGGAAGGTGCCAGAAGTCGGATTAGGAGAAAGCATTTGCAATGCTTAAAATTGACAAGGGCCTACTAGCAAGACTATACAGGGAACTGCTGCAAATCAATAAGAAAAAGATAAGATCTCACAGTAGAAAAATGGGCAAAGGATATGAACCAGCAATTTATAGAACAAGAATTCCAAGTGGCTAACACAGAAGAAAGTCCAACCATAAGTAATTAAAGAAATGCAAATTAAAACTGCAGTAATATATTCCTTTATGTATGTGAGATTGGCAAAAATTAGAAAATGGGATAATGTCCAATGTTGATGTGGATTTAGGAGTTGCAGAAAATTTCAGGTACTGCTGGAGGAAATATACATTAATTCTGGTGAGCAGCTGGGCAGTACTTAGTCAAATTAAGGAGTTGCATCCCCAATGACCCTGCAACCCCTTTCTAGGATATATGCATTCCAGAGATTCAGGTCCATATGAGAACATAGCATTATTTGCCATAGTGAAAAACTAGAGGCAATGCAGATATCCCAGGTGAAATATAAATAAGTGGATGTGCACAGTAGGATTATGGGCTAGTTGGCAGCAACAGATTAGAATACAGAATTAGATCTATAATAGAATATGACTTTGGTTAATTAAAAATACATGTACACTAAACAATACTATATGCTATACAAGGAGATATGCAAGTAAAAGGGCACTCATCAAATCCATTAGAATGTTTACCTATAGGGTTGGAGTAAGAGGTTAGATACGGCAGTGGGAACTGGGAATAGAAGGGAGCAAATAAATCAAGAAAGAGAACTTGTAGGTACCAGTGATGATAGTGTGAGGAGTATGACCAACTTAACCCTCTTCACTTGAGGTGCAGCATAAAAATTAACAATAACAATAATAATAAGATGTGGTCATCATCACAGAAAGATCATTAATGGGAAGAGAGCTATAAAAACATAAATATATAAAATATATTAAGTACCATGATAAATAGGAAATATGGAACCCCAAAGGAGCATTTGTATGTGAGCCTTGCCGTTCAGTGAGTGCAAGTGGTATTCAGTGGAGATATCAAACAAACTCTCTATTAAGCATTTATCACACTGTGTGACAATTATGTGTTGAAAGACGTATCTGGCTCCACTACCAGACTACGGGCTCCTTGAAAGTTTGGACTTGCTCTTTTTCTTCATAAAATGAAGATGGAGTATAGGATCGCTATGAGTTGGAATCAACTCGACGGTAACGGGTTTGGTTTTTGGTATGGTTTAGGATTGCTAAGAGTCAGAATCGACGCGACAGCAATGGGTTTGGTTTGATTTTTGGTATAGGATAAGTGGTTAAGCCAACAATCTTGGATCCAGACTTCCTGGGTTTGAAAACTAGCTCCATTACTTCCTGGCTGTGTGGCCTTGGTCAAGTTGCTTAATATTTCTGTGCCTTATATCCCTCACATGTAAAATACTTACAATAATAGCACCAACCTTATAGAGTATTTGTGAAGATAAAATTAGTTAATAAATGTAAAGCACTCAGAGTAGTGCCTGACTCGTATTAAATACTCAATCATTTATTATTATCGTTGTTGTTGTTATGCAGCTCAATGCTTTTAACCCATTAAGAGATCCACGTACACTTATCAAATTGAATTCTTCCCTTCCTTATACATCCCAGGCTCCCGCCTCTTTCTCTCTGACTGTATCCTAAGATCCCCACCCCAGAATAACTCACAGAGGCCCCCGGTCCCGAGGGTCACTACTGGAACGCAGAGCCTTTATGATGAGGACAGTGCCAGCAACGATGCCCACCAGGCCCACTGCCAGGCCTAGAGCACAGACCACAGTCTCTGTCGTCTCAGGCACCTGGATTGGCTCCTGGGCCTCTAGAGGAAGAAGAAAGAGATGGAGTCAGAAGGTGCAATGAAGGGTGGAACTGGCCTGAGATGTGTGTGGGCTTTGGAGGTTATAGACCATCTGATGGCATGTTAGGATAAGGAGAAGACTGAGACCTGGTAAGTGGAGAAAGCAGGTGCTGAGGACGCCAGGTCCTGGGAGTGAAGAGGGTTCATGGGAGGTTATTCATAGGGAAAGAGGCTCCATACCCCAGTGCTTGAGAAGCGGCTCCTCCAGGCCCCAGTGCTCCACCTTGCAGTCATAGACATCCTCTGCTGAGGGCACGAAGGTCAGGTAGTGGAACTTGTAGAATTTATAATCTGTTCTGGGCAGGAAGATGCTCTCACCAACACCGTCAATGACCGTCTGCCCATTGCGCAGCCACGTGACATTGAGCACTGGAGGGAAGAACTTGTCGACATGGCAGATGAGGGTGTTGGGCTGGCCCAGCTCCACAGGCTCCTTAGGAAACACAGTCACTTCAGGGGCCTCTGAGGGGAGATAGGACCTGGTGAGTCCCCTGTTTTGGGATAAATACAAAGGCTCTACCTTTGGGGTATCATCTAACTCAGGATCCTGATTCAGAGCCAAGAGTCTCATTCCACTGATTAGCCTCACTCAGCTCAACCTTTTTCTTGAGTGAGACGGAAGATCCAAGCCCTTGGCTGTACTGGACTAAGCCCATGGTCACCCAGGGAAAGATGACCACTCAGTAGTGGGCATCTGGGTCTCCCGTTCTGTGTGTAGCAGAGGAACCCTCTCCTCCCTTTCCAGTAGAGCTAATGAGGAAGAAGCAGAGATAGCCATACCATTGGTGGCTTGGGTGTGGTTGGAACGTTGGATCATGATCTTCAAGTTGCTCTTCAATATAGCAAGGTCGGCCAGCCCACCCTGAGCATCAAAGGAAAAGGCTCGGCCAAACTCTGGCAGATGCCAGACAGTCTCCTTCTTGTCCAGATCCACGTAGAACATCTCATCCTCATCAAGCTCAAACATATACTCCCCTGATGGACTATATGTCTGTACAAATTTTTCATAAGTTGACACATGATCCGCTGCATAAAGAGAGAAAAAGATGACAAAATGTAAATATGAATATGTGGAAACCAGAGAATGGATAAAGATTTATTAATATAAAAAAGGCAGGAGGAAAGTGTTCAAAGGAAAAACATAAAGGGGAAGAAGGAGTGACACCAAAAAGGTGATAATGTAGAGTAGATGATAGTAGTTGTAAAAAGAAATGAGAAAGGAACAAACTGAGAAAAGAGTATTATTGATAAGTCAGGACACTTCCTTGGTCTTTGAAAGTCTAGGCATCATGACCCTCCAGAAATATCAATAATAATAGCGACAGGTAACATTTATTGAATATGTGCTATGTGCCAGGCACCACTCTAAATACTTTACATATATTTTCTCTTTGAATGGTGACAATAACCTATGAAGCAAATACATTCACACCATTTAACAGATTATAAAATGCAGCGAGTTTAAGTAACTTGCCCAAGATCACGTGGCTATTGGTGGAACTAGTAGAGAGATTTTTCTATACCCAAAGATCTAAGAATTGTAGAGATGTACATCATAAGGTCTCAGATGTAAAATTATTTTTAAAGTCATGAGGAGAAGGAACTTTATTTTTTCTATTTAAGGAGTAAAGATAAAAAAAAAAACAGAAAATTTAGGGGAAGAAGAAAACATACTTCAACTTTGAGTGCTTTTTATAATCTTTAAGTTTCTGTTTTAGTTTCTGAACGTGAAACTGCAGGACGCATCCTTTGTTCAGAAAAGTTTTCATTTTAGGCATATTAAATTCAAATGTGTAGTACAGCTATTTTGGCAATAGTTCTAAGCTTTCTCTTTGGATTTATATTTTTCGTATTTATTTTAAATGGAACTACAAGTTGTTGCTGAGTTTGAAATACCTGTGGGATTTAAGTTATTTTAATTCTTAATCTTATCAGTTTATAAGTAGAAAAAACAAGAGAATAAAAAAGAAACCGTCATCATTAAATAAAGCAATGAAAATATGACAATTTCTGGGTTTAGAATAATAGATGAATAAGAATAAAAAGGGGAGCCCTGATGGTGCAGTGGTTAAGAGCTCAGCTGCTAACCAAAAGGTCAGTGGTTCCAATCTACCAGCTGCTCCCTGGAAACTCTATGGAGCAGTTCTACTCTGTCTTACAGGGCTGCTATGAGTCAGAATTGACTCAAGGGCATGTCTTATTGTATAAGAGTGAAAAGGGACTTTCGAGGTTATCTGGTCAAACCTCCTAACTCTTGGATTTTCCCTATAGTGGCCCCGACATGTGAGAACCCCTCCTGTGCTTGTACACTTCTAGGGAGAGAAGGATCATTCATTTACAAGGACACTTAGGTTCCTCCTCAGTTTTAAAAATTTAGAGGAATTACCTTCTGAAAAGAGTGTAAGATAAAAATAGACAAAATCCTCTAAAAATTGAGAACAAAATTGCCTACACGAATGCAGTTTGTACTTCTTTTGGTGCTTTATTTTTTAACATTTTCACAAATTGTGGGGTCTAAACATCAGCCAAATTGAGACAAATAATTTTTCTTCAAATGTTTTTTTCATTCAGACCAAAAGAAATTATAAGCCTATTATATGTCAAGCATTGTTAGACACTAAAGAGTCAAATAAAAATGAGATAAAGCTCTTGTCCTCAAGATGCTTACAATCCACTGAAGGAGACAGACAAATAAAAAGACAATTACAGGCACAGTTTGGTAAATGCAGAAATATTGGTACGCACAAGGTGCTATGAGGTACAAAGAGGAAGAGGAAGTACATTGAAATCAAACAACGCATTAGGGAAACAAATAATGTTGCTTGAGTTTAGACAATCAGAAAACAGAAGGAAAAAAAAGTCATTTCTCAGTCAGGGAGAAGAATGTCAAAAAGGGTAGGCCCAGCATGACATATGACATATTGGGATAACTGCAAACCTTTCAGTATGATTAGAGCTAAGGCATATACGGGATAGCAGTGGGAGATGAGAAAGAGACAGGCAGGGGTCAGATCATGATGAGGCTTGCATGCAAAGCTCAGGAGTTTGAACACTATCCTCAAAGTCAGAAGGAATTATTAAGGGGTTTTAGACAGGGAAATGGCATACCAGATTTGCAGTTTAGGAAGATCACTGTGGCAGCAGTATGCCGGATGAATGGCAGAGGGCTAGTTTAGAGGCAAGACCATAGCAGTTGTAGCAATGAGAAGAGTGAAAAAGGGTATAGAAGCAGAAGGAGGGAGAAAAGGAACGAATGTGAATAACTTTAAAAAGATTGGACTCTAGTTGTTAACCATTATCATAGGGCCAATATGTGTACTAACTGTTTAATGAGAAACTATTCTGTTTTGTAAACCTTCATCTAAAGTACTAAAAAAAAAAAAAAATTACCTATGTGAGATCAAATTCACAACAGCAACTCAAAAGGTTTTATGGGAAGCCTATGGGCCAGTGAGTTGAAGATAATGGTGATGGAATAATTTGGAAAAGGATAGTGAGAATAGCAGCACAACTGGAAGAACATAATCGATGTCACTGAATTGTACATGTAGAAATTTTTGAAATGGTGTATCTTTGGCTACGTATATTTTCACCAAATAAAGAAAAAAGGTCCTCCAAGGTCGAGGAGGGAGAGTGTTGACATGTTGTGGGGTTGTTAACCAATGTCATGAAACAATACGGGTCCTGACTGTGTAATGAGAAACTATTTGTTTTGTAAACCTTCACCTAAAGTACAATAAAAAAACTAAAAAAATAAGATTGGACTTCACAGGAATTGGTGAGTGATGTGGAAAGTAAGGGAGATGGGTGAATCCCTAGACTAACCAATGCAATGAACTTGATTCCATTAAATAAAGAGGTAATAAAGGAAGAGGGTCTGATTGGGAGAAGATGTTGAGTTCAGTTTGGGGCATACTGAGAACATCTAAAAGGCATCTAAGTAGAAATGATCAGTTGGTGGTTTTATCTAATGTTTGGATCTTAGGAGAGAGATTTGGGCCAGTGACAGGGAACTGGGAGTCATCATTGGTAACTAAAGGTTAGATGAGATTGTCCAGGAAGAGTGCATTGCAGAGATCTGAAGATATAACCTGGGGAACATGAAAATCAAGAGGCAATTTCAAAACAAAATAAGCTGAATAGTGCCTGTCTACCATTACTGAACATTTTGATCAAAGACACAATAGATGGATCTTGATCAAAAGGAGTAAAAATGTGGAACAGAGTTTAAAATGCCTGTGAAAACCAGACCTACTGGACCCACTGAGACTGGGGAACCCCGAATCTATTGCTCTAAGATAAACATTAAACCTTGAACCAAAACTATCCCCTGAAGTCATCTTTAAACTAAACAATTTACCTCAAAATATTCTTAGTAAAGAATATTTGCATTGAACATTGAGACCTTTTAAAGAATTATCTATATAAGATCAAATTGACAACATAACTCTATATGGCATAGATGAAAAGTTTAGAGGGCAGTGAGACTAAGTGAATGGTGGTAAAACAATACAGGTAGAGTTGGCGAAATGGTGACACAGTATAAAGAATGTAACCAATGTCATTGAACTGTACATGTAGAAATTGTTGAATGGGGGGTATGTTTTGTTGTGCATATTTTCACCAAGAAGAAATAAGAATAAAATAATGAGAATGAGGAGGATCCAGAGAAACATAAGGACAGAGTAGGTTAAAGGAGGATTAAAAAAAGTTTCAAGAAGAAATAAGAAGGAAGTGATTACAGTGCTATTGCTTTCAAGAACTCAAGTCAGATAAACACTAAAAAGCACCCACAATGTTTGGTCTCATATAGAGGTCAGTTAAGGCCAGGCTGAGAGTATCTTCAGTGGTATATAGGAAACAAATGTCAGAATGCAGTGGGTTCAGGATTGATTGAAGTAAGAGAAAATCAAAAGACATTATAAACTCTTCAAGAAGCTTGGCTATGATGGTAAGAAAACAGAATATTTCTAGGGTAGGATGTAGAGTTAGGGCTAAGTTGTATTTTATTTGTTGGCTCATATTTGTGTTTTTAAGGTAGAGAACATGCTTATATATTGAGAAAGAAGGAGCCAGTAGGGAGGAAAGAACTAAATATAGAACTTAGTTAATTGGTAATATCTATCAATAGCCCTAAAAAACACTCATATCTATACAAAGTTATGTTCATTATGGTGTTTCTTATAACACAACATTGGAAATAACCTAAGTGACCATCAACAGGACAACAGGTACTTCTGTTTCTCCCTAGTCTCATCTCTTTTTCACTTCTACCCACCCCAAGATCCCATATCTTAAATAAAAGTGTATGGAGGCCATACTTTGCATCTTCTGGGAATCTGCTTTTATATTAAGAACTCTACTCCTTCACAACACTAGATTTTTGGATGGCAATATGACTCACAGATTTGATGCTCCCTGATGTCAGGGCTGTACAGAAAGAGCGTTCACTATGATTTATAATCCCTGGATAAACCTTGGTGGTTGTCTGAAGTCTAGGCTTCTCAATGCAGCAATAATCCCCTGGTTCACTTAGGACTCAAATTACAAGGTTAACAAAAACATAGACACAGCTGCTTATGAGAAGAAAGCATTTGAACCACCTACAAAGATTCTGAGGAGGCCCTAGGATCCTGGGAGAGAGGGAGGAACACAGTATCACTCTTAGCATTTTCTCTCTTAGGTCCCAACACACAGAGCACTTGGCTGGGAGGCCCTCATGGGCCACTAGAAGCAGAGGCTAGGGATCCAGGAGAGTTATGAGGGCCATGGTATCCCTGAAGGGTTCAGTTAGAAAGTCACTGGGTGCTGAAGTCTGGGAAATGCGAAGGGTATGATCATCGGAATTGGGCCTGGTTTAAACCTTGGCTCTTTGACTTGGTTTGTAACCTTGGAAAATGAACTCATCTTTTTGAGCTTCAGTTTTTCATGTTTAAAATGGAGGTGATAATATCTTCTTTGAAGGTTCTTGTGAGCAGTATATGAGGAAAGATAGTAAGTAGATGTCTAGTAAATGGTGGCTGCTATTATTGTCATTATCATTAGAGTGAAAGGGAGCAAAGGGGGACCTCACTCAAGGGAATAAAGAAGAGAGAGCAGGGATAGGGAGGAAAATAGATCAATGGGTTCCTGAAATCTCTAATTTCTAAAGCAACTTGGTAACTTGTCCCCACCCTCACTGCCCTGTTCTCTCATTCTCCTGAACACTCACCCTTGATAGCTCCAGCTCTTTGGAGACTCAGCAGGGAA